TCGCCCTTGAGTTTAGCCTCATATGGCTGAGTGTCAGCTTCCACAGCAGCAGTCTTTTTAAAGAAGCTGCTAAGCGATTTTTATTTTTCTTTGCTACTGGCTCAACAACATTACTCTGGCTCTCAGATTTGTCTTCACCTGCAGGAGTACCTTGAACTTGAAGGCCTCTGTAATGCATAGAGCAGAGTTCTGTAATGATTCTCTCTTTTAGTTTATCAATCTGGTTTGGCTTAAGGTAAGTTGTGCGGAACCTGGGATCTAGCAGTGAGGTAAAGTCGATCAGGTCTTGTGTGGCTGGATCACTATATTTAGTGTTCAGATAATCCAGCACATTTGCTTTGATCTGTTTTGTAAGCTCTGTATCACTTTCTTCTGGTTTTAGCAAACTGTTGTTAAACAGATGAAGAGTTGGCTTTATGAAAGAGATGCTCACGTATGTTTCACCTGAGAGAGCATCAGTGAAGTCATGTAATGGCTTAATGGCTTTATTTACAGACTCTAAAATGTCAATGTCCTGCCAAGTAGGCACTAGGTGTCTTGTTTTCTTATCTGCACCCAAGATTTGCCCAATTGCCTTCTCCTGCTCTAGAATGCGCTCGATCATTTTCTGGCGTGACCCCCATCTTGTTGGCGATTCTGATATTAGCTGATGTTCTGGGAGGCCTAGTTCTGCTTGAACCAGTGCCATGTCCCTCCGCTTCTTCCAACTAAAAGAGAAGGCACTGATGACTTTCTTGCAGACTCCTACAGTGCGTTCAATGCGATGATCCTTACAAGCATTCCCTGTAAATAAACATAATAAAGACACAATGTCAGCCACTCATTGCTCATTTTGTATAGTGTATGTAAATAAACATGTACATAATTAATGTAAAGAATACACATGTGCAGTGTTGGGTAGTAACTAAATACATGTACTTAGAATACTAATTTTGAGTAACTGTATTGAGGTATTCTGGGCTTTGGGCATTTGCAAAGTGCTTTTTTGCATTCCTAATTAGTGGTAAATAAGTTCATAACAGGCGAGTATTCAGTCACTGAATTTCAATGTAGCCTTTTATTAGTATTATGCAAATCAATGTGAAAGTATTCAAAGTATTCAAAACAGAGTACTCTGTTTCAGTATTCTGTAAATAAAATGTCAAAGTATTCTCCCCAACACTGCACAAATGTGCTGTTACAGTGATTACAGGCTCAGAGTAAAGTGATAGCACCATTTAAAAACATTATTTCACTTACCTATTGCGTTGTGTAGCCTGTGCCCAAAGCAGTTGAGGTGGGTCCACTGGTTTAACTTCAGGGCCTTTATCATATTTGTTCCACTATCTGTAGTCATGCACACCATGTTCTCCTCATCCAACTTCCACCGTGTCAACGAATCTTTGAGCCTCTGTGCAATGATCTCCCCCGTATGATCTTCTGGGAAGTAGGTGGTTTGTAGACTGCAGCTGTTGAGAGCCCAGTTCTCATCGATATAGTGCACAGTTAAACTCATGTACGGCTGAAGAGATCGACTGGACCAAAGGTCTGTAGTAGTTGCAAAAAACAAAGCGGAGTCCAACTTTTCATAGAGCGCTTGTCGTGTTTCGTTGTACAGTTTTGGTAGCGCAACCTCCGCAAAGTATTTGCGACTCGGCGGGTCATATTTTGGATCACACACTTTTAACATGTGCAGAAAGCCAGGCTTCTCTACGGTGTAAATGGGCATCATGTCCATCCCAATATGAACAGCTACAGCGTCGGTCACCTGCTTCCACCGCGCACTACACTTGTCGTACGGCACGGCTTTAGAAAATGAGGCGGCTAAAGTTTGTTGTCTTTTCCCGGCGTGGTCGTGTTTGTCTTTGCTCGTGCTACCCACGCTGCACTCCCGAAGCTGCGAGCACTGCTCCCATTCTGTGGGGTGCTTTTGCCGGAGATGCTGAAACAAGTTAGTTGTGCTGCTACTCTTGGTTTTGATAGCATTTCGGCAAACCTTGCACACGACTGTAGTCTGCTCCACGTCGGCCTTGTCAAAGCCGAACCACTTCCATATAATCGACGTAACATGAGTCCCTTTTCTGGTTACCAACTCTTCAGTTTGAGCAGCGGCCATGGCGTTTGTAAACAGTGCAGCGTGCTAGCGCGCGGAAGGAGGAAAGAGGCGGCGGAAGTCAACGCAAACGCGCAAGTCAAAAAATGCAGAAGAAGAAACTTCTTCTTCTTTTCGGTTATTGGCGGGCAGAAGAAGAAACTACCTCGATTTTACGATTTAACACATTTTCAAATCGTGGGCTTTTAAAAACATGAATTAATCGAATTAATTCGATTTATCGCCCAGCCCTACCTCTGAGCTAATCCCCGGCTGAGCCCAGATGGAAATGTGACTATGACAAAGACAAGAAAAGCTCAATGTGCCGTCAGCCTGTCCATCAGGGGTCCATAAGCATTTCAAAGTGAGAGTGGCACATGTAGTGAAACAGTGGCATGCCCAGAGGCGCAGTGCACTTCTCTTTGTCACGAAAAACACAATGGAAGTCATGCGTATTGAATTTATATGACTATTAGGAGAATGTTTCAATGTAATGGTGCGACTGGGAGAAGCTCAGCCAAAGTGAAGCTGTTTTGCTCAGTGATTTGTGCTTTTGGTGTGTTGTTTTTTGGTGAAGGTGAAATAAACTTTTCAGTGAGTGAGTGAAGCAGGGCAGGGCCTGGTTAGTACTGTGATGGGAAACCTGTGGAAACACCAGGTGCCACAGTGGGGAAGCTGCGGCTGTTATTATGTCCCCAGGCAAGACACTTCACCCACATTGCCTAGAATGAGTCTGGTGTGTGTGTGAATGGTTGGTGGTGGTAGTGGTAGTAATAGTTTATCACCACCATGTATAGAGTGAAAGAATAATGACAAAAAACACTATATAAAACTGCATTTTTATGTCATCAGACTGTACATTCACTTACACTAATTAATCATACTAATAATAATGCATTAGTTTTATATAGCGCTTTTCAGGACACTCAAAGATGCTTGATTACACTTGTGAAAAGGGTTGGCAAAATATGCATTCAGCCTACACCCTTTCGGTCTTTCTTTCTGCTGTAAAGTTACTGCTCTGCAACAATGTGTATTAATGTACAAGTGACCACAATAAACTTCATTCATTCACTTGATTGCCATTGCCACAAAAAACACACTTATTGTTCATATCTCGACACAAGCTTGAACACAAACAAGATTAGACTAATAGGTTGGTGAAGAAGGAAGAGAGAGATTCTGCTCCAGTGATTTTTACAAACAGAATTTAACGTCTGATGAATGTCTTATGATTATGGAGACACTATCTAACACTGCAGGCCAATACGCCAGAGCATTTTGACATCTCACACTCTCAGTTCTGTCGTCTATGAGCACATTTTGACTCGGAGTAATAGTATAATCAATAAAGTGTCCGCAGTACTCGTATATCTTAGACTCTTCTGCCAGCCTGGAATAAAAAAACAGTTGATAAAAGCATACCCGCTGGCAAAGACGACCATCTTTGAACGTGGCACTGGCAAACCCATAATGACAAAGATTACTACAGCACGCACCTCACAGACAGATAAAAAGGTCCCATGATCAAAAAGACAAAAAAACACCAGGTCTTCCGCTTAATGAGTGCACTTTTCAGCTGTATATAATATAAAGTTTGGCAAGTAAGACCAATCAACTACAGCAGGTATCCCCAACTCAGAGCTCCATTTTTAGTGGCCAATAATCCAGTGCGCCTTATTTATATATATATTAAAAATAGATCATTGAGATTGTGCCTTATAATCAGGTGTGCCTAATGGTGTGAAAATTATGGTACGAGACAAATCCTGCAGTACTGGTGATGTGTGTGCATGTGTTAACCACCAGAAGAGAGAACACTTTTTGGACAAATGAATCAGACAGCGTGGGAAATGTGTGGGGGAGAATCACAGAATTATACATTACGATATATCATCAAACTAGGGATGTAAAAAACTATGAATTTTCATGACCGACCACCGAGCCTCATTAACCGGTTGAAACCGGTTAACCGCGTAGTTTAAAATAGTCCACGTTCTTTGAACGTGTGCAGCTGAGCATTCTAATGGATCAGAGCCGAGACAGCGGCACCAAAACCCGCAACAGCTTCGGCACCTTTGCGCACAGAGAACTGCTGTTTTAATCTTCCCATTCTTCTGTGCTGCGGCTTAAAGCATTTTTAAGCAAAAGACAGCTCGTCCACATGGTCAGGGCAGCGAGTGACGAGCCGCGTCTCGCAGGTCTCCGCTAAAGTTTAAAAGTGATCAGTGTGGAGCTGATGCCAAGGACCAGCAGCACAAACATGGTCCATGTGGTTTGACTGGAGCCGTGTATTTGCAAGAATGCTTTGGGCTCCGTGACACAGAGGAGCGCGACAGACCGGTATGTGTGTGTGTGCAATACATGTATGTATGTGTGTATATGTCTGTGTGTGTGTATATGTAAGCTATGTGTGTGTGTACAATACATGTATGTATGTGTGTGTAAATATAAGCTCCAATGTAGTTCTGACCCGCACCAGTGTGCAACTAGCAGACGGTAACACAGGGGAGAGATGATGCGTGTGGATGTTACGTGTCAATGGAGGGGGGGATGTGTGTGTGTGTGTGTGTGCGTGTACATGTGTGCGTGCATATGTGGCGCGTACGGCGTGAGAGTCGGCCCAGAGTTTACTGTTACATTGGCGCACACAGCTAGATAGGGACCCGCTCGTCACATCGTGCAAATAGGGCTTAAAATAGCGTTATTAAGAGACCTCCCCTCTCCCCCTTTTCTCTTTTTTAACCGACAGCTTTGACCGGTTAACGCTGTGACGGTCAACCACCGGTTAACCGGTCACCGATTTACATCCCTACATCAAACTGATATTTTAACAGCCTAAGCCACAAAATGCAAATACTTGACACATCTCTGTCAGTTTCAAACATTATCCAAAGAGAGTAAGAGAAGTTGAGGATATTCATATTGTTTAGGTTGCAGCGTGTGTTGGTGTAGCCGTGTCTGACCTTAAAGAGCAGCTAGAGGACATGAGTTTGGCTGAAGTGTCATTTTCTTGGCTCGAGTCGCTGTGGGTGACACCGAACGCGCTCTCAGCCGCAGTCCAACGCATTCTGCCAGGAAAGTCCACCACACCGACACTCGGGCTCCTGGAGACCGGCCAAGAAGAATCCACTGCAGCTTGAATAGGACACACACAAGCCAAAGAAACCAGCACTGTTTGAGTTGATGTGAAGGTGAAATTGTCACACGTTACAGGGCCAAAAAGTTGTGAGTCTGCAAACACGCAAGTCTGTATCCGCTCTCAGCCCAAAACAAAATTCCTCGGGCTCTTTTTACAGGCATGTAAATAACATGCTTTCTAATAAGACGAAGAAAACATGTTTACTTTATTATTTGAGGCAAACAAAATATATGTAACAATAGTAATATCTTGTAAAATGTTCCGTATCCAATTTGTATTTGACATTTTTGACCAATAATTAAATGAATTATAGACCCAATAGATACAAGAAATACCCCTTCAAATGACTGTATCTAATTGACCTAACTTTGCACAACATTATTTGCATATGGCTGGAGGAATGAACGGGTTATGAGTGTTCATTCAGAGTGAGATGGCGCCTGGAGCGTCCTGGGAGCGCCCTGCAGGCAGCGCGCTCTCAGATGTGGTCTTTGCCCGTCTACGAAAGACTAAACTTTAGGCAAATAGTAATTCCGCTCAGGCCACAAACACATGCATGCTGATTTGCCGCTCGTAGCTATTGTGCCGCTGTCCCAGCTGCGCGAGCATGTGTCCAACAGTTTGCCAATCATTGTGATAATGTGGCAGATGTATGCATATGCCACCTTTAGTGACATTCTCTTCAGCTCTATAGTGCGCTTCGATCGGCTCTTCTTCGCACCGCCGCCTCTCCCTCTCTGCGTCTGTCAGCCCAGTGCCACGGCAGCAGCCCGTGGGGTACAGCTGACAGCACAGCGGCTTCAAACCTCCAGCCTTCAGCGAGGCCCTTTCAACACGCCAAGGATTCACTGCACAAGTCATGGCTAAAATACCTTGCTACGGGGCGAGCTTTAAATTGGATGTTGTACCCTGGTTTCTCAGTCTTGTCTTGTCCCATCACCTCTGTTGCGGTGTGGAGATCTACTATTCACCAAAAATGTGTCTAAAATATGGAGTCATGATCCAAGTTCACTACAAGCCAAAATATCACAAGCTTATCAATTACAAGTTAATTGTGTGATTTTATATGGTTTCACTGAAAGCTGGAGTAAGCAACAATCTACACAAATATCACCTATGTCATAAAATCCATTTAACAAGTTCCTCCAGTTTACTTTTATCACTAGTTTTCACATGCATTTATTTTTTGGCCTTTGTCACGTTTTTAGATCAGCTTTTTAAGTAAAAAACAGAGGACCTAACTCCCTCAGCCAATCAGCTTTCAGTCCGAAAGCGTCAAGCAGTGACTCACAGGACTATCTTATAATTATCCAAAATATAACATGTTTTCTAATAAGATGAGGACAGCATGTTGTGATCAAAGTTGTTCACGACTTTTTACAAGACAAACAACTTATTATTTATGGAGAAAAAGTTAGGTACCACAGCTTTAATTACCGGTGCCTATGACGGTCACTGTCCGCCTTCAGACTGTTTGAGTGGGATGCTTCTTTGTGGTGCAGCTCCTCCCAAGTATCCCTTGTTGTATCTGATTGGGTTTAGAGAAATCAAAACATGTCAAAATTACAGTAATACTTTCCAACAAAAACCAGGACAGACAGAAAATAAACTGCAGCACACTTGTCCAGACTAAAAATGTATTGGTTTGGCTTGCGGCAATATTCTTGTTTACTACTGCTGCACTGTGTCAGTCAGTCTCCCAGGCTTTGAGCCAGTCCAGTGCAGTGAAGATATTCTTAGGTTTCTATTGTGGTGGTTCAGTTTGTCTGGTATCATTTAGTTTAACAATTCAACAACTGAGTTTTATTCTCAACTTTCCCTCCTGTACCATTTTGTTGTTTATTTTTGCTGTTTATTGTTTATAATTGAATATGTTATAATTGTACATTGCGATATAATCATTATTACGCGTCCGTCCGCTTTCCAATTGCCTGCAAAGTATGAGATGCGCATGCACTTTCGTGCACGTCAAGTGGGAGGAGAGCATAGGGGAGGGTAGGAGGGCTTCTCAATATGAAAAGCCTGTGAGGGAGTTGGGGGGCGGTGCTAAAAATTCAAACTGAAAAAATAACTTAGCCAAATCGAGTATAGCTTCTTTAAGTCTTTGTGAAATGTACAGCAAAAATGAGAAAGTAAATTTGTATTAGCTGTGTATTTTTGTAGATACAGTAACGCTTAAATACATGGTTGATGAATCTCATCTTGGCTACTTATACCCATTGTCCAAACACAAGATTTTTTTCATTTTAGAAAGACTACAACAAAGATACAGAAAAGAAATTGAAAGAAAATACATAAAGATGCATGATTTAGTTTTTTTATTTTCTAAAACGGAACTTGCGCATTTACTCATTCAGCATTTCTCTGAGTAAATGTCATACAGTAACGACTGCTGGATCTGGATGTTTGGAGCCAAAAACAGGGGAAAAAAACATTCTGGAGTCAAAAAAACAGTCGAGTTTGGGGTGGAGATCATAAAGCCAAGAGCATTAATGGAATGGTTTAAAAGAAAAGGTCCAGTCAAAGTCGAGACCGATATAACGAAAGAACCTGAAAACTCCGTCCACAAACACTCTCGAACGGGACGAAAGGACAAGACTTTCATTCTCAAGATGTACAAAGCTTGTATCCCAAAAGACAGCAGTTTCCACAAAGTATTGAACAGACTCATGTTGTATGATTACATCTACTGTACATGCCCGTGCTAAATCAGAATACTTGTGCATGCCCCCCGGATTTTAACACTTTGTTGTTACATACTGATTTTTTTGCTCCAACATGCCGACATTCACTCATTCATCTTGTAAACGTTACGATTTTTTTTGTAACTTGCCCGCACTAAATCAGATCAGAGAAGCCAGTTATCGGGTGTTTGAAAAGTGCACTGGGTGAGTTACAACCAGCGGAGTTCCTGGTAAAGTTGTGCCACACACACAGACAGGCAGTAAAAGAGAATTTACACATGTGAGACAGTTAGTGTGCTTGGATTAGTGAGCTGCATAATCCTGCTTCACAATTGATGTGTCTTTATATTACACGCTGTCAGCAGGTGGCAGGCATTGAATCAAGCTGGGACTAAAGTTAATGTATGCCAGAGCATGACGGCAAAGGTGGACATGAGACACAACAGGAAAGGTAGGCTGAAATGAACAGATTTATGAGTAACAATACTTTGGATCCCTGAGGTCTTTGGTGGGGTGAGGTCTGAAGCCAGTGGCCCTATTTCAAGTGCCCCCCCCTGACCTCCTGGATTGATGTAGGAGGCACTGGGAAGCTTCGTAAACTTAATATCAAGTCTATGTATCTGTCCCTGGCTTCAGACCTCAGGCACCACCCCTCTGGCCTTCTGGGCTGGTGTTGGAGGCACTGGGAGGTTACATAAACTAAAGTTTATGCATTTGTCCCTGTATCATTAGTTAATATTTCATCTTGGCAAGGGATCTCACTGGTGCTTTGTACATCAGAATCAGAATAATGTGTATTACCGTTGTAAGTAACAGGAAGTCACAAACTGGGAATTTGCTTTGACTCAAGGTACAGTAAAAAGAAATTATAAAAGTAAAAAAAATATATAAAGGCATGCATTAAAAAAATTCTACTGTATACAAGTACACATAAAGTAAATGTAAGAATATTCAATGCATGTCAATGGAGAAACAAAGTCCACTTTGAAGAGAAAACAGCTCTAATATGGAGAGTCAGAGAGTCAAAGATTCAATATTACTCTCCCAGTCCCTTTTGAGGATCATGCAATTAAAACCAATATAAATATATTAGTATTAGTACATGCTCAAGAATTGGTATCAGAACTAGTGCATCCCTACTCCTTAAAAAGTGTTCCACTCTTTTTGTATTTTGAATTAAAATAATGTAGGATCTTGGCTCAGCAACGCAATAGGAGTTAACAGGACGGGGAAAAAATCCATATTTGAGCAGTCTCACTCTGTGCATCTTAAGCAGCATATTCCACCAAGTCTGAATTATTAACCTTGTGTCGTTATTCAATGTAAAGTCTTGAAAGTGGGACAATTGAAGAGAACTCACTTGAAGTTAAAGGTAAAACGCAATTTCCTTAGTTTGCAGATAATAAATCAAATATTAGTTTTGGGTAACACTAAATCAAGTTTCTTCTAGCTGTCATCTCAAACGTTTCCACACAATCTCAAATTATAAGGATTTCCATTACATATATATATACAGTATATACTGTGCTTATGATATATGATTGATTTTATATTAGTGCTGACCTTGTAGTTTCCGCTTCAATAAGTATATATGCTGTTAAAAATGCAACAGAAAAAAACAAAACCCTTCTAATAATAATAACTAAATTGTTCAGCCATAATCCCAAATGACTATTTCAGTACATTACTGCTACATATCAAATCAGCCCACGCCCTTCAGTATCATTACTATGGTAATTTATGCACAAAAACATGTGTGTGCAGTGTCTTACAAAATGTGTAGTAAATTGTGCATGGACTGTTTGCAATGGTTGCACTTCAACAACGTAAGTAAACATGGCTGTTTTCAGTTGGTTATTGATTCTGGAAAGGACAGAATTGCATTATAGCCCCTTATACACGATGACCTATGACACCCGAGGTTCATTATTAAATATTTAGCTTATATGAAATCTCAATATTGAGTTAAAACTATGATAAAAGAACACAACTGAAAACAAGAGACGTTCCTAATTCAGTCCCTAATTCAGACGTTGCTGAACGCAACATCAGGAAAATGTGGTCACATCAAAGGATCCACTCCACCGCAGACGACGCAGCGACACAAGGACGGTTATTTCCTTTGAGCAAAAGTGACTGCATGAGGCGGGTGAATCCACCACAGATCCTGGATTCAGAAACGAAGATTGGCGGACTACTTCAGGGGCTAGGTGACGGGTGGTCAGAGGACTGAGGGGAGAGAAATGGCTTCTTCCATATATGAGGATATGAATAACTCAAACATGCATGAATCACAGTGACAAAAACAGCTTAGAGCTTAAATGACAATGGGAAAGACCTGTAACAAGGTCAAAAGCTGAGAAAGGTCAGTTTTGAATATTATGTCCACTTTAAAATGGTGGGGGGAAAATCTATTCAGTTTAGTTTTGCGATATATCTCCAGTTTACTCTGGATTTTGTAAGTGATGTGCTTGGAGCTCACCATTCATGTGAGAGGTCGACTATTGTCCTGTCCTGAAATACGGTCCTGTGTCCGGAACGTTCAAGGAAAACGTTTTTGCACTTCAGTAAATGTGCAGACCATAATACATGCAATACAATACAATACAATTTATTCTTGTATAGCCCTAAATCAAAACAGTAGTAAGGACGTAACAAAACCATTGAAATCACCAACACCAAGATCAGAGAATCAACAGTTAAAACACAAAAAAAATATAGAACACATGTTGATAAATGTCCAAACATGTTGTAGAAAGTTAAATTGTCCTGGATCATCACCACATGTGACAATTGAGTCTTTTTTCCCTTCATTTCTCTAATGCCTTTGAATAGTAGGACAGACATGAAACGCAATATATCTCAGAATGAAATCGCAACATGTTAAGAATCGTAATAATCTTGAATTTTTGTCCATATATTTTATTACTATTGAATCGTCACATTTGCCAATTCCCACCCCTACTTTAAAATGTAAGTAATAAAATGTTGAAATCCATTGAAACCCTGTGACAGACACCAAGATGAGCGCTGGTATGACAGCATGACGATGATGGCAGACAAATGAGCGGTAATTGAATGAGCGCAGCAGGACGTGTGGTGTCAGGGCTGAATTGGCAGTGACAGCAGCACACGCCGCTGCAGACATTATTGACCCAGGGCACACAAAGTGCTGAGGCGTCAACTCTCCTTCACCTTTGGCCCCAGGATAAGGACAGCTCTGAGGACAAAACTCTTCCTCAGAATTACAAAG